TTTTTTATTTAAAAGACAAATGATAAAATATCGGTATCGATAATACCAGCCCAAATTTTACTCGGTATCGGATCGGAAAGGAAATTGGTGGTATCGAACATCACTAGTGTTTACACTTCCAGCTCTGCCACTCCTGTACTTTCACCTTCGTGTTTCACAGTAGGGGGCAGTAGTCTTTGTGTTCTTTAGCTCCCTCTTACTGTCTTCAAAAATCTGTATCTGAGTTGTAGAGTATTTGTCTGGGTTATCTTTTTTATAATGTGGGTAAATATTTTTATTTTGGCAAATGTGTATGGTTCAATGCTAGTACTTTTACTATATAAACGACTTTTTTATCTAGTACTTCCATGAATAATAATAATAAAAATAATAATTTCAGATTTTACGAGCATGTGATGAAATAGTTTTAATATAAAATATAAATATTCTATAAATAGAACAACATTCGTTTAAATGTGTAACTTTCTTAAACGGTTCTCTAACGTTTATAAAATGATGATTTTAAAATTCTATTATATTTCTGAAAAACAACGAGGACGTATTTTATTTTAATTTATTTTTGTAGGAGTCGAAACCAAGCCGCCTCCGTGTGTTTGGTGCCGCCCTCTCTCAGTATAAAGTCACACTTTCGCAACGTCGCCTACAACAGACGTTACAGACGCTGCAGTTGAAGCCACGGAGCAGACGCACTGACGGATTATTATTCCGGTAGCCGAACTACTTCTACTGCAGATTTCCTCCCTGTCACTGGAAATAATTTCTCATCTTTTCAATATGATTCCAGAGGAAAACTTCGAAACCATCGAGAACAGGTAAAACTCCATCGCATTTTGTTCCGTTACATCCATGTGTCTGAGCCATGTGGAGGAAAAACGCGTGTCGCTGCACACTGTCGTCCTCTGACCGGCGGACTGGGCTTCAGTGACAATACTTCGTAGCAATAATGATGTAGATTTTCTTTAAGTAAACGACATAAGTTTAAAACGCGGTCGCACGTGTTACATTAATTACAGTCAGAAATACTCACATGGTTCAAACTTCATGGTGTTCTTTTGCACACTTGCAGCTGTGCGTGTATGTTGCACAACCTGCAGCAACAGAGTATGGATCACCGTGATGCTCAAAAACCCTGCGCAAATTTGATTTTTAACCTCAACCTCTAACGTGCAACACAAACTCTTTTTTTCTCATTCGTTTGTCAGAATTGATTCAACAATGTTCTTCGCTGTGTTTTATGGCATAAAAGAAAATGCTTGGTGTTCACTGTGTCCATGTTCTCACCCCCACAGGACGCAGTCAGTCAGTCTGGCTCTGGAGGAGCTGCTGGTTACAGCTCTGAAACAAGACTGTCTCACCATCGGCATCTATGAGTCAGCCAAACTTTTCAATGCGTAAGTATTTATTCTGGAATCTTCCGAGGCAGTGGCGGCTATAATCACCAGTACTGAATGTGCTGCTGATGCTCTCTGTGTAATGATTAACATCGTTCAACCTAATTTTAGACATGTGAGAGTCAGCGTCTGGCCAACGACTCATCTTTTCATGTTCTTTTTCCGTCCTCAGTGATCCGGACAGTGTGGTCCTCTGTGTCCTGGCAGCGGATGACGAAGACGACGTGGCGCTGCAGATCCACTTCACCCTCCTGCAGGCCTTCTGCTGCGACAGCGGCATCACCATCCTACGAGTGTCCGGCGTCCAGAGGCTGCAGCAGCTGCTGGGCTCGGTGGACGCCAACAGGAACCAGGACGACCACAGAGACCTTCACTGCATGCTGGTCACGGTGAGTTTGCTGCGAGGCCTCTTATGTAACTCGGAGTGTTTCTCTCTAAACTTTGTCCCTGCAGCAGCTGACATGTTGCATCACATGCATGACAGATGGTGTTTAACTACAAATATGAATATGCATTAAGTGTTGTTTCATGTTTCCTCTGCAGAACCACCAGGCTGACCACTGTAGGCTGCAAGAGGTGGGAACCTACTGCCAGGAGAGGCGACGCCTGGATCAGTGGGTTCCTGAACTGGTCCTGCAAGAACGATGAAGGGTCTGGGACCTGAAAACACCAGAACAACACAGGAGCTCTTTTCTGGGGTTCAGATACTGAGGAACGGAAAGATCCAAAGTAGATCAAGCAGGAACTGGAACTGCGGGAACGGGTCTGGGAACCAGGCGTTCTCCCTGATGACACGCAGGACCCTCAGTTTTACAGTCGCAGTGGAGCTGAGCAGAGACTGGTTTCTATGGACTGGTGCAGAGCACAGACAGAAGTTTCATATTGTCAGAATCCAAATCCTAGTATGTATTTTAAACATCCGTTTACGGGCTGTGACAGTATAGGACAGAGGAGGAAGAGGAGGAGGAGTTACCATGACGACAAAACTCCACACCCCGGCTCGTTTCCAGGAGTTGTGTGAATCTGTAAAAGGACAGGAATGTTGTAGCAGTGAAACTATGCCTGAACATTCCTGGGTATTCCGACATGGGAGAGGTCTTTGGAGAGGAGGTGTGTGTGTGTGTGTGTGTGTGTGTTGGAGTGGAATGTGTGTGGAATGCTTGTAGGACTTGAGAGAAGAAACAAACTGAAAATGACTGACTGCCGTGGCAGGGCTGAATAAACTGTGAAAGTGTTTTTAACGGAGGTGAATAAATGAATCATGATGAACAAACGCTGTAAAATGTGCAGTGAGCTTCACTGTGTCTTTGATTAAAATGCCGTCAAACCAACGTTGCGTGACTACACTGCTAGTTTATTGTATCTACTGTTTGACCACTTATTTATTTTGACTGCCGGCCTCTGCTGTGTTCACTAAGTAAATAAATTATTGTGTTAAGAACTCGCCGTCTTATCAAACGCTCTGGTGTCAAACGTCATCAAGTCAAAGCCAAACACATCATGGAAGCAGCTTGAGTCACGCAACAGTTAGGGTTGCGTGTTAATCATGGAAAAAACACACACACACACACACGCACACTGAGTCTTTGTTGTTAACGTGGCTTCTCAAATTTGCTGCCAGGCTTTGCTAACAAGGAGCAAACACATTAGTCAGAAGAGTCTGACTGAGAGCAGCTGGGGTGGAGGCAGTTAGTCATTGTGTTTGCTACAAAGAGGCCAAACAGGCTGATGCAGACCTACAGCCCCTACAAGTCCAGGGTCCTGACAGGGTGTGGGTGAAACCCACAAGGAAATGCAATGAGGTTACCCAGCACAACGTGATATTTGACTCATCAGGAGTCACGACACATCACATGCTTCATTTGGTTTTTTTCTTCATTTTCTGTTGCCATCGATCTCCTGAAGAGCTGCAGGCTAAAGCATTTGCAAGTGACTCCCTGGATTAACCCCACCCGTGTCATGAAGTCGACTCATGATCAGGTATCTTCATGTTCCCGCAGCACTGTACAAGGGGTTTGTTTCACACCGTTTGGCTCCAGACTCCACCCTCTCCTCTCACATGTCTCCTCACAGCTCTGGAACACTGAGGCACATGGACCTCCCATTTGTTTACTACCAGCTGCACGGGGAAGTCGTCCCTGATTGGCTGCTGCTTCGCCTCCCTGTGTATCATTGGCTTTGAACCACAGGAGGTGGTGTGGGGGAGGTCTGCTTTGAAACTTGGGAAGAACTCGTGACTGCGGAGGCAGAGTTTCACTGGGAACACAGACGCCCTGAGACAGAGAGGTTGCAACAAAGGCATTCCAGTGAAATGACCCACGTGGGAGGCTTTACCTGTGCTCTTTGTTTCCCGCAATCCACACTGTGTATTCACATGTGACCATTCACATTTGTGTATTGTTGCAATCAGTGTGAACCTGAGTCAGTGCACAAAACAAACAAAAACACCACAAACTGCAGCCAATAATTCAGCAGCGTCTGCAGCTTCCCTGACTGCACGTTTCTGTCACTGTGTACTGTATGTACAGCAACTGCAGGAGTTGGGTTCAAAATTTTAGTTTAAATTAACCTTTGCAATATTCTCCCACATGATTTGCTTGTGGGCATGTAGACTGTTGGACTGTGCAGAGTGCTGTTGAAATCAAATGGAATGTCATTTGTTTTGCAAGTATGTGGCCAAAGGCTAAAGTCAGCTGCTCCTTGTCTGGTGCTCCGACACAAAAAGTAGACAATGCAGGGATTTCTGTTCAAAATCAAAATCACATCACATTCGATATGTAGCAATATGTTCTGATTTTGGGTTATTAATCAGAATACTTCAACACGATTGGGACGTTAGAGGTGTACGGCTCCACAGCTTGGTGCTAAGCTTCGTCACGACTAGTTCTGAAGGCATTGAATTTTCATGCACACATGCAGGCAACCACATGAGCTGATTTGTTAAGTTTCTTGTAATTTTAACTTAGTAATCTTCTCATAGCACCCCCTTCTGAGTAGGAGCTTATCTAATAATTAGACACTGATATATTAAGATGACGATGGCAAAGCACAGATCACCATTTCGTAATAATTCCGTAGGTGTTGGAATTTCATCATCAGTTTTTTCTAGGCTAGTTTGCACACCATAAATCTGCTCAATATGTCGACAAACATTATAGTTTAATTGTAAGAATTAGCCAGGAGCTAAGAGTGCCATATGCTAATGTAAATAACTGTGACAATCTAATGTATAATTCACCTGTCAATGACAAAAACAACACATTACCATCTGGTAGATGATAATGATATTGTTTAACAACACCATTAATAAAAAGTTCTTCTGTCCTTAACCTTTTTGCTAGTGTTTTTGTTGCTATTGTTAGCATGAGAAGATGCTAGTCCATGACCAAACATTTACTCTTTCAGGAACAGAGCAGCAAAGTTACATCTCAGTGTTGGGAAGATTCTACTTTATTTCCTTTCTGTCGTTTCAGTCCCTCAAATCTTACACACAGTTCTCACCTGTTGACACTGTTGAGGCCTCTTAAAGTCACAAGGACGCAGACAAAGAGGAAGTCACTGCACACACCTGCCATTTTAAAGGTCGTGAACTCTGACCCCGCCCACAAAAACACTTACTTCCTGATTAGATCTGAGCACTTTACAGTAGCAACAGATAAAGCAAAAAAACTAAAGATTGATTCATAGTGGATTCTACTTCTTAATACAGAAAATAATTAGATTTTTACTTTTCTTTTTTCAAAATAGTGTTAATGTATTGTTATTATTTTACTTTTCTTTTTTCAAAATAGTGTTGTAGTGATGTATTGTTATTATGAAAATTAAAACAGAGACATTCTTCTAAGAATAAGCGTCAAAGTTTAAACGAGACACCGTTGTGCCCATGACATCAGATTTCCAAAATAAGAGTATCAGAATTATTGATAATTGGTATAATTGGTATATAAAAACTTCATATTTTATAGATTCACAGTTCTGGAAAACAAAACTCAAAAGAATTTTGTTTGTGAAAGTCTAAAACAATACCAAAAAATTGACAAACTTAAATTATAAAATATATATAGAAAAAGGTTTGTAAAAATATTGAAGAATGTAATAGTAACTAAAATGATTTAATAATAACAATAACAACAACAATAATAATAATAATAACAATAATAATACCAAATGCATAACAAAAGAGCTCCACACTACAGTTGTTTCAAAAAAGTAGTTTGTTGTTTCCAAAAGTCCAAAGTCTTGAGAGAAAAAACATGTTTTCTTCTGTACCATAGGGGAACAAAGTGTGTCTAAAGTCAAACTCTCACACAGCAGGTTGTTATTAGATCATCTTTTTATTAATGTTATCTACTTCTCAATATTGTCTTTTTTTTCACAGCAATATCCACAAAATATTAACAGTGTGCAAGAAAACATGAGTTATGGCACATCAGAGAACAGTTACAAAAAATAGATATATTTTCTTCAGAATCAATCAAGGCAAAAAGTTACACATACCGTATGCATACACAGGAGATCAGAACACAAAAGATGAGTCTCGGAACAAAAACACGGGCTCGGAGCCGATTCACTGATGTTTGATATGAAAGTTTCCACCTGGAGCCGCCTGTTTCACCATAAGACTGTTCAATGTGTGGATCTGATGACCCCCTCCACCCCCCGACACCAGCAGTAACACAATTTACGCCACTACAGTATAAGGCAAACCAACAATCAACAAATGAGACAAACTGTCAACGAAACCAGCAACGGAGTTTGTGAGTAAAAACCAAACAGCAAAGGAACGATCGGTGACGGGGAAAACAAAAACAGCTTCTGTCGGACAACATCGGGACAAGATGAGTGTTTTTGTATCTGTGTGTGTGTGTGTGTGTGTGTGTGTGTGGTTTTCTTTCTCATAACCAGATGATGCACAGAACCAGACTTTCTTTATAATATGTTTCAACACTCTTACTTGGAAAAGTCAACCTGGGTGTTTTGAAGTTCCTGTCACTGTGGTTTGGCTTCTGTCTGCATTCTTACTTTTTTTAACACTTCCTTTTTTCATTATCTCTTTTACTTTCTAGCTAAACAAAGTTAGCATTTTAAAGTTTGACCTTTGATTTCTTTCTACAGCAAGACTTAGTAGACAACTACCACACACGTCCAAACAAAAATGTCTCAAGCAGGAAAATGCAGTCTCTTGGACCTTGGTTAGGTATGAATTGCATGCCTTCAGTGACCCACATCTGCTCTTCAGGTAGCTATAGTATGGGTCGCATAACAAATCCTACAGAATACAAGCAATCTAAATTCATTTAAATTCATCTAGGTTCAATGAAGATTCCGTTCGATTCCGTGAGTGCTTCAGGGTCGAGCACCCACGCACAGCGAGCACCCACCAGCGTAAACAGAAATCGGCGCCCCTGCTGGGCATCATATCATATCCTGTGTAAGAGTGGAAGATGAGCCAAACAGAAAAGCACAACTTTACTGGTCCACATCTGGTAACTCAGTATCCATTATGAGGAACATACAGTATCTACAGCCTCATCCCTCTGTGACGGCTGGACCATCAGGGCAACGACAAAACAACAAAATTTGGTTTGTTCTCACTCACAGCTGGGCAGCTATTGGCCCAAGGTGGGCTAATCCAACAAGTCTGAGAATGGGTATGAAGAATCTGGGCTCAATCTGAACCAAAATGACACCAAAAATGAAGCAGATATCGTCTGCAGAGGCTTGTTGCTCAGGCTCAATGTGGGAAAACAGATCACAGAAATAGCCTGTGTCCTGTCACTGGGCCAAACCCACGGGCCAGGAGGATATCTGAAAATAAGACAGTGCAGTCAGATTTATGACTAATATCATTAGGGTTAATATCGTCATCACATCCAAAATAACACGAGGCGAAACATTGCCAACATGTGATCGCCCACTTTGTTATGCTCCCCCACAATGTGCACACGGGCTCACGACCAACAATCCAGCCCAGCAGAGTCTGTGTGAAGCTGCTGTGACTCACATTCAGTGTCACATGTCCTGTCCTTGAGTCGGAGTCACCCTGACCTGGAATCACAGTACCGCAGCTCTGTAACGGTACCGTGTGACACCGCGGAGCACTGCAGGCCCCGTGTGCTTGAACACTGTGTTTCTCTCACAAACACACT